GTGTCCTAAAAGTGCCCATCACGTAGCGGGTCACCACTTGGCCACTTTCGTCCAAAATCGGCTGCACAGTGTAGGTGCAGATTTTGAAATCGCGTAAAAGGACGCCGGTTGAGATGACCAAATTGCGCAACCCTTTTGTTGTTTTCATCAACTAAACAATACAGTATTTGCATACAGGGTGCATGAAAAGTTTTGACGGCAAGAAGGCCGCCTATATCAAGATTGAAAAAAGCTAGAACAAAATGCTTTTTAGATTCGAAAAATATTATTCCTCGTAAACATAAAGTTTTCAGTGTCTAATAAACTCCAAAAAAAACTTTTGACATGCTAGATCATCAAGAGCAAATAGAGATTTTTGATAATATTTTTGGCCGTGGAGTGGGCTGCCGAATCTCACTGCTTAAAAATTTTTGGGATAAACTGAAATGTATCCTTTTGTGCCTATTAGAAAGACGAAGCATTTTCCTTTAAAATAAACCCTCATACAGCCCAATTGGTTTTGAAATAACCATTTTCGAGTGGTTCAAAAAGTTGAAGTTAAGCTTGAAAACCGGAAAAATTTAGCAAAGTGGTCCGAGTTGCCACTGGGATAAAGCCCCAAAAAATTGATGCAAGAAGCCGAAGTGTGCCAAACAAAAAGCTTAGCTTAGGTAAAAATGGTTAATTTTTCCAAATATGAAATCTGTTTTGCTCTAGCTATTTTCAATCTTGATATAAGCGGCCTTCTTTTCATGTCATCAAAACTTTTCACGCACCCTTGTATGTTGCTAACGAGCCAGCTCAGACTTTTCAAGTCTGCTGCTCGATCGTTTAAACTGTTTGATCCTGTGAGCCTGACTCTATTAAAACAATCGAAGCTCGCAAGCTCACAAAACGTTTTGCACAAACTAATTTCAAATTCGGAATCAGTGTAAAATTCTGCATTGGATGGCATACTCATAGTTTGAAATACTCATGCCTTAGAATTGTTAAAAAAATAAGCCTAAACTGTGAGACACTTGTATGGTTTTTGTAAATAAGATTCGAGCTTCGAATTCAGTTAGTTAAAACGTTGATCTTTGGTGGTAACAAAGCAGAGTAAAGGACGCAGAAGAAAGCTTTTTGATAAAAAAAATGCAAACCTGAAAACTCTGTTTGAGCCACGAATTTCGAAGAACCTTTTTCAATAGTTCAATGGGAAGACGACGAACTTGAAATTTTGTCTTTCCACATGAGAAAACGAATGGAATTGATCGCGGATCCACCCAAAGGCCGAACACATTATCGGCTTCACTCATTGCATTTGGAGGCAATCGAAATAAAGTCTCCTTCAGTTTTCCAAGAGAGCTGATTGAAAATAGAAACTTTGAGTTCACAAAAAAAACGAATCAATGCTGTTTGGTTTTTTTGTTCAAAAAAATTGCTTTCAGAAAGATAAGAGTCTCTTGACTGTTTTTGCTCAAAAACCCTTGTGAATTTCAGTTATTAGATTGAGTACTAATTCTTGATAACGTTTATACGTTTCACACAGGCCTTCAAACGCGGAACTACTGAATCAATGGTGGCCCGCAAATACTTGACATCAAGAATGACCCAGCACCAATCAGTTCGTTCATAAGTTTAGCGAGATTTGTGATTTTCTTGATCTCCAGAATTTCCTCCAAGCAGCCCATATCGAAAAATCCCATGGGTTGAGATCCGGCAAGTTGCTGGGCAATTCTTTCCTTGTGAAACGTCTCATCAAATCCAATGTGAATTCGGCTCCGGGCTGATGCCCGGTCTTGCTGAAAGATCATCTGCGGGTGTTTTTTGCTTCAAAGGAATCACAACTTTATTGAGAACCTCATTTTGATAGAGTTTACAGTTTATTCGATGAGTGATGTTGAAAATTGAACGTCTTTATGGAACCGCACACAATTTTTATCACAAATTTTTTGTATATAAATGGACACAATACAATACCCCAAACGCACAACTAAACGCAACACCCCTACGCTAAATGGCGATAAGAAACTATTTTACTATTTTGTAGAGTTACATAAGTTCTTTAAAATAATACAACTTAGTGGTTTATTTATGTTTCCCAATCATTATTCGCCAGTCTTTATTGGCCTTTGTTGGCCTTTTTGACTTTTTAGTCCATCTCTACTCCTAACTAGTCGGTCATCGGGCACAAAATGAACATAAAACATAAAGATCTTGTCAAATCTCTTCATTAAGAAAATTTTAGACTTTAGAGAGATGGCTTTAGACAAAAATCGATTGATAAACTCTGTTACGATTGCTTGAAAACTTGAAAACTCATTTTCTGAACGTTGAAAAGAACTTAAAACCTCTGGAAAAATATATTTTGCATTTCCTTGTAAAAACAGTGATCATAATTATTCTAAATACTAGCACTGTTTTTCCACAAATTTAAAAAAGCTAAATGACGAATCTTTCAAAAACGACGCGCGCTTATCTTGTTTTCGCTTACCTTGTCTTGTTTTGTTTTGCGTTTCCTTGTTTACCCCAGTTCAGCTCAAAACTTAGCTCAAAACGTGCATATTACGCATTAAATTTTGCTAAAGTTGCACTAGTTTGGTGATTTTGGAAAACTTCTTGTTTCTCATTCAAATTTCCTTTAAATATATGCAAATTCTTTAAGAATTTTAAGCAACTTAAAACGAAAGCACCTTAAAAATGCCTAAAAGCACCTTAGAAAGTACTTTTTTATATGCCTTTTTACTTTATAAATATAAATTTACAAATTTTTTACATTAAATAAATCTCTTTAGCGTACTATTATAAGGAAAACTTTTGTTTTAATTATTTTTTGGAAGCTGATTGTTTTTGCTTATTGCACTTTCGAAAAAGATTCAAAAGTTCAACGTTTATAGAAACCGATGAGCGATTTGGGATTTTCAGTGACGACTCTTCTTTCAACAAATCCCACCCGAAGTTATAGTCAAACAATGTGAGTTAGCAATGTTTGTGGAGCTTTTAAAAAATCTGTTCCAAAGTACGATTCAAATCTAACTCCACCTTCATTTTCCAGACCGTCCTTTGACTGATTTGCTTAAAATTTTGTCCACATATTGATAACGTTAATCTCTACCAGTGAGCAAAATTTCATGATTATCGGTCAAGGCCTTTGCCACCAATTGGTCAACCAATTCCGCCTTTGTCAAGAAAGCAAAGGCGGAATTTGACTTGTCTTCTAACGTACCGATCTCTACACTTAAAATTTTATTGGTTCACCTAATCCCACCCTGTCGATAAAGCTTTTTTATCAAAAAAAGCCTCTTTTCCAGTCGGGTCCATTGTTTTCGTTTCTTTTTTATCCAAAGTTGAACCTTCGGGTGGAACGAAAGAAACTTGCAACTGAAAATCTTTCAAAGAAAATTCAGAAGAATCTCAATAACACCGGAGCTGCAAGGTACTGTCTCGCAAAACTACTCGTCCGACCCGATTGATGCTAACTTTTGGCGTCCGGTGAGCCAAGCGATAAAAAAAAATCGGTGGTCCACAACTATAGCGAATTGAAACTCTTTTTTTCTGTCGAAAAAGTTTCCTTCAAAAAGAGTGTTTGCCTTTTTCTTTATCTGACTGAATTTTATCTGCTTTTGAAAGTTTTTATGAGATAAGTACGCTTTTGTACAGCTAAAATACTATGTCGCTATAAGTGTGGGTCATCCAGCTATCAGAAATCCTCATGTAGGTGGTGATCAGTGGGTCGTTGTTGTTATTCTTTATGCCCACCTTTTTCTCTGCTATCGTTATCTTTGGGTGTCGCTTTAAGCAATGGGTAAGTCGAAAAAGGTAAGCCCTTCATTGTTATCGAACAAAAATGTGTTGACAGCAAAATGTGCTGACGCAAAAAAGACGTGATTTTACCCCTTTAAGCTCATCTTTTCAAATACTCTTGTTTGTTAGATAAAGTTTGCAAAATACTGTTGACAAGGAAAGGCCAACCGGGTAGACTGTCCCCATGGGAGAAGTCATAGACCATTTGACGCAGAATTTCACGCTGATTCCTTTGCCGCTATCCGTTTTTGCTATGGAATTTTTTTTGTAAAGTGCTTCATAACGAAAAACGAATAGCAGCATTGAACTCAGAGTGAAATTCTGCGTCGAATTGTCTGCCATTTGTCTGTCATCATGCCATTTGGCGAATCTACCCGGTTAACCTTCCCTTGTGAATAGGGGAATAGGGAAATAAATATTAGGTGTTTGTAGATGAAAAACTGTGTTTTTTGAGCCGAAGAACTTCGCTACAGCAATTTCATATATTTTGCTTTAAAAAGTTAAAGCACATTTTTTTGTTAAACGAATATTGAAATCTATATGTTGTGTCCCCTTTGGATTCAAACCACTGCGGACGTCCGGTTTGGATTGATACATCAACAAGCACTGCTGTTACGTGTTTTTTCAATGTTTTTGCGTCTTTTAACTATTACAAGATAGAAACAATTTATTCAGCTCTACATTCAGCTGTACATTCAGTTGTACATTCAGCTGTACATTCAGCTGTACATCATTTGTTCTTGAAGCTGAAACTATGGTGACATCTGGAATTGCATAGCAAGCCATTTTCCTTGCAGGTACATCGATGTGATGAACATCCGCTAGTACATAAACAGTGAGGTTAGCGTACTTGATGAAACAGTATTTGATGATGTTAGCGCTTCCTGTTCAATTCCGAGCACCGTTTGATCACCTAAACAAAAAAATAGTTAGAATAAGTAACTTATCATCGTTAATTTGACGAAAAACTTGTCAAAGTGTACCGTTTTCAACTGTTGCCTCGATCACGTTCATCGTCGAGATCCTCGGGCAGCTTTCTTTGCCTGAAAAATAACACAATTAATAAACTTTTAAATAAAAAGAAAAATAATATAAAAGGAAATATAAAAAAGGCACAAGAAAGCAAATGTAGCATTGTTTCAGTTCAAATCAGACGTTCGCGATGATTTGAATTCAAAGCGGACACAACATTTACATAATATTTTTTTCAAGAACAGAAAACGACGACTCCAGAGATGCTGGCAACGATAGGCCAGAGGCAAGTCAGAAAGGTTTCCCCCTCAAAAACGTTGAGCTTTTAAAATTAAGAAAAGATCGAAAATTTTACAATAACGTTTTTCTTTGTAGGAGGACGAGGAGGAAGGGCCAAGGAGGTCAAGAGGCGCATCGTTGGCACACATGCTCCAGGCGATGTGTCCTTTATTGGAGGAGGACGAGAATGCTCAAAAGAGAATTGATAACGTAGGATTGATATTATTTTTTATCTTTTTGAATCATACAGAACATCGACACGATAACTCTGCGACCAGTAGATAGAGTTAATTTTGATCTGCTTGATGGGAAAATCGAGATCGATCACCTCGAGGAGGCCTTCAAATATGAGAACATCGAAAAGAGAATGGTATTAATAAATCTAGCCCAATGGCGAGGCATAACTTTTTAACTAGTTAAATTAGCTTTAGATTTACTAGTTTTAGTTTTAGAAAGCTAAATTAGCAAAGAAATAGCTCATTTGGTAGAAAGGAAAATTCTGAATAGAATCAAAGAAACCGTTTTTAAAACGAAGACATTTTTGATAGGCCTTATGGCAAAAGAATTGAAAATTAACTTTCCCGGATACTCCATAAGTACCAGACATTTTATCAGAAGTATTAGTGCTACTTACTTATGATTTAGTTGGGCTCTGGTCACTATGGATTCGCATATAAGGCGAGTTACGGAGGAGTCGAGTGTGCCGTTAAGGTTTGGTTTTACGAAAAGCAAATTGTAACTCATGTTCATGGATCTACATTTAAAAAATGCTTATGTGTTGTGAATGGTGAAAAGAAAGTGCAATAAAATATAAAGTGATTAAACTTTGGCGCTTTGGTGATTGGGAGTAGACATGGTTTTTTGGAAAATCGGATCGGATCGGGCGGTAATGTGTTATCTCAGCTTAGAACTGCTGCAAAACTCTAGTTTCTCGTTCAGAAATCAAATTGATTAGTATTCAATTGTTTCAACTCTTGATAAATTCAACCTTCGCCGCCCATACTAGAAAGATGGAATTAAAACTCTTGTAAACTAAAAAAAGCAAATAGACAATGGATTAAAAATTACAAGCAAGATACGAATGTTTTTGTCGCTTGGACGGTAAATATCACGTAGGAGTAATTTGTGTGCTTGGTTGCAAAATCGAAAACACGGCTTTCGTTAACAGAAAGCACCGCAAAATTGAAAACAGAGCCTTCGTTTGTATTGGGTTGGGGACTATGACTCGGCGCCAAACTTTAAAGGGACTTTTTGCACACATAAGCCTTCTTTAAATATCGTTTGGTTTCATCAAAGGTCCACTTTTCTCTACAAAATGCCTTTTGAGAGTTCCACAAGCTTTTCTTCGTGGAGTTTATGGACTCCCAAACACAGCTAGTCAAAATGGCAAGGCCCGCTCTCATTTGACGTTTCTTTCACATACCTTCTTTGGTGTTTATATAGATAGGCCTTCAATTACTTGTTGCCAAATTTGCAGGAGTCCCACCATGGTTTTCTGTCACGTTTGTGTTTTTGTGTGGCTTTTCTTGGCGGGGCGCTGTTTGTTTCTTTTTGTCATTTTGTAGAGAATTAGTTACCATTCTCTCATTCACGCATATTATTTGCGGTCGAATAGAAGTTTTAGCATTTTTGTTTTCGGCGCCGAGTCATAGTCCCCAACCCTATATTTTGTAAATTGCAAATGTAAAATGTTAATTTAATCTGGAAACCGAATTGTTCAGATCGGATCGGATCGGGCTAGTCCGATCGGTTGAACGGATCGCGAATCCAATCGGTCCTAACCCGATCCGATCGGTTGAACGGAACGGATCGAATCCAATCGGTCCTAACCCGATCCGATCCGATAACCATGTCTAGTTGAGAGGGGCCACTTTTGGCTTGACTTCGTCGAATCTAGTATTTTGAGCGGTTCGTGTCGATACTTTTCTTCTATTATAATTATATACGGTGAAGCAATTGGTGTTTATTTTAGAGTATTTCCAACATGTTTCAAGTTGGTATTGCAGCTTTCTAAGTGTAATCAGCTTTAAGATTCTGTGGTTAAAGTATAGCAAGATAGGGCCCAGGGCAAATCATCTAATAGGATTATTAAAAATTAAATTAGATAAATTAGCAAAAAAAAATTAGCACCAATTGCTTCACCATATATCTCTTTCTTTAAAATAAAAAAGTATCGAGACGAACCGCTCAAAACACTAGATTCTACTCAGCAAACCAAAAGTAACCCCACCCAACCACCAAAATACCTAAACTTTTGACATCACAACGTATCAAGAATTGTTTAAAGTTCAAAAATCATAAAATACTTTTTATCGAACACCCTGTAAACAACTTTTTGACTTCTAAAAATTTCTAGCAGCCAAGAAGAGATCGTCACGAAGAAAATTACAAATCAATGGTGAAGGAAATCAAGATCATGGCCTACATTACCTCAAAACATTTTCACCCCAACTTGCTCTTCTATATAGCTGGCGATTTGGGGGAAGAAAATAGGCTAGTCAAACAGATATTTTTGTGACTCTTTGTTGTTTTAGAAAGAACATTTGTCTCCTCACGGAGCTGTGCGACACCAGCTTGTTTAAATGGCTTTCCAAAGCTAAAACGGAAACTTTCAACAACGAATGTGTGAGTGGAAATAGTAAAATTTTTAAAAACCAGGACAAGTTCCAGTTTCGAGAAATCGACCTGTACAATGACTTTGACCAATATCGAACTGTTTACATGGTTTGTTAAGCTACCGTTTATATGTTTACATGGTTTGTCAGTGTGGCTAAGAGCCAACAGGGTTGTCTCTAGAAGCCAAAAGGTCGTAAGCCTACTAATTGCCTGAACTTTTGTGGATACAATGTAGCTCATCGTTGAAAAAACCCGAATTTTGACTATGAGTATAGCGTGACGTGGAATTTTGGCTTCAAGTATAACTCTAGATAAGAGAAGCTTTCAGGTTGAACACAATGCGGGATTCGGACCAAAAGAAGGCAAGTATCAATGTTATTTCAATGTTTTTTTTCCTCTAGATCTTACTTTGTGCAATTTTTCTTTAGTTGCATTTTATTCAACGACCACTTTTACAGCACTTTTATACCAGATAGCCCTTGGTATGCTGGCGTTGAGCAAAATCCCTGTGAGTACTTCCAAGAGTAAGAACAGACCAATCCGGTACTTGAGTGGGAACCTCTTGGTTGATAGTGTTGGAAACGGGCTACGGTAGATAGAAACTGAATATCTTGAGTATCTTCTACAATTTGCAAGATTTTCAGTTTATATCCACCGTAGCCCGTTTCCTATTTCACATTATTTCTTGAGAAGAACACACTCTATCCGGTAGACATGGACATTACAAGCGTAAACTACAAACACTTGCATCTTGCTTTGAATCTGCCGGATTGACAAGAAAGATCAATAGCTCAAAAAATAGAGAAACTCAAGAGCTTTTGAATGGACTAAAGCACAGGCAAAAAATATCAATGCAAAAGAAAGTTACAGTAGCTTGTAGCCTGACTCGATCGCTTCGACTACAGTACTGTGTAGATCATGTCAATTCAACAGATTTGAAGCAAGTTAGAAGCGTTTGTAGTTCACCTTTGTAGTTTGTAGCCTACTCATGAACTAGCTGTTAACCGTGAACCATGAATCGTAATGTTTAGTGTTGTCACCGAGATCTGGCGACAAGGAACGTTCTTTTGCTCAAAAGTGGCAATGTTTTGATAGCTAAAATTGCCGATTTCGGATTAGCAAAAAAGTTGGAAGATACACACTACAGGTTTGCTTTCAGATTTCATTCTTTTGGAAATATGCAATCCGAGTTTTAGTGCCGCGGGCCTAGAAGGACTACCCATTAACATAATGAGTCCGTCAGCTCGAGAGTACAGGCGATTCTCCGTAGCCGTTGAGTTCTCTAAGTCATCGACATTGATGAATTTAAAGCTTTTCAGTCAGACATTTGGGCCTATCATCAACTTATAATTGCCGTATTTGTGTTTGAGGGTGTTCAAAAGAAAAATAGCTATGAAGTGCTCGTTCAACGTTGTCATCACGAAATGTATTTTACCGTATTGTATGTAAAGAAAAAAATTTAGACAAGACCTGCTTGAACGCGGCATGCTCAAGGATAAAAAGAAACGACCGACTTTCGAGGTTAGAGTTCGAATTTTAACTTGAAATTGTCCAATGAAGGAATGTGTGAAAGTGATGAGAAACCACCTTCAACGGTTGAACCCCGAGGCAAGTTTGAATAGCTTTTAATGTTTAGAAACTTAAAGACATTGGCTTTTGTGTTAGAGTCGGGTATTTCCTTCACTTTCTTTCTTTCTCTTCCCCCTTGTATTTCCTTTTTCTTTTACCGAAAATAACGGTTAGCCCAGTGGTAGGAGCATCTGCTCGGAAAGTAAAAAGATCGAGGGTTCAATCCCCTCCAGAAATCTTTCTTTGCCATTCCTTACTTTACTTTATTATTTTCTATGGACGAAGACTGATAAAAAAAGCAGAAAGAGTAACATTTTCCGATATTTAGAGACTATTCCTGAAAGGGAGAAGCGGTGATCCCTATTTGTAGCGGAAAACATCATTAAAGACATTCAGGCTACATCATTAAAGATAATAATGAGAAAAAGATTCACTCTAACTTCGGCAGAATATACTCACAAACTTGGGAGAAACTCCGACAAGAGCGGAATTTGTATGATCCTAAAATCGTAATCGTCATTCGTAAAATCAATCCATTTCAGTTGCTGGCAAGTATTGATGCTGAACTCCAGAAATTGAGCCAACGACGGACTCACAATATTTTGCATACTTTATAAGCTATCGATTGAGCAAAAATAAAGACTTAAGATAGTTTGAGCTCTGATTTCTGGTGCTTCTCCACTAATCATTCGTTTGATTTCTATTTGTCTGAGTTTTCTACCAACTTTGTGATACGTTTTTTAGATAAGCAAGTGTTTGACAGCTTTACCTTCTATTCTCAAAAATTCCTAAAAGTTTCTATTCCCAAAACTCTCACCCATCAAAGTGTGGCATTCATCGTACAAAGAAATGTTGAAGCAACTCGGAAATGAAGAGTCTGGGCACTTTCTGATGTAGCACTCTCAATTTTTCTCCTTTTAGTGAGGACTGTGCAACTCGGGATGATTTACGTAAAAAACTCTTGATATTAATGGCAATTTTGTGTGCTGCTTCCTTGGGATTGATGGTGCTCGACGTGATGGCCGTTCTAACTTGCAGGCAACCATTTTTATAGCATTCAGTAGCATGAGATCGGCTCATTTTGCCTAAAAGGGGGCGGAGCTTCGGGTTTTTTTGCCTAAACGTTTTCATTTTTCATCAAATCATTTTCCTTTGCTTGTATCTTGTTCAAAATTCAATGAGGAATCGAATGAAACCAAATTCAGCTCAATCGAACAATTCCTCACAAATTTATGACCATAAAACCATAAAATTTTGTGTTTTTAACCATAACTTTGTGAAGAGTGAACTGATTGAGCTAAATTTGATTTCCTTCGGTTCCTGATTAATAAGAAAATGATTTGAAAAGATAGTAAGAACTTTAAACAAAAATCTAAGTTCTTTTAGTCAAAATGAACGTGGCTCAGTAGTATTATCTGGCGACTAGCGAAGCTCAAGTGATTTAGAATGGTTAGGTGCAAATGGTTCAGGAAATTTGGGTAATTCCGTTCCACCATTTTTTAGCCACTTGAACATCATCTGAAGCACTTGAACTTGGGTAGTCACCACAGAATCTCTCAAAATTTTAGCTCCTTCCACAAAAAACTCCATTTCGAATGTAATGACATCAGGTAACAGGAATGTTTTTGTTATTGTTGTTGTATTATTGTTTATTTTATTTATTATTGTATAAATTTGTTGCAAAACTACTTTTCAGTGCTCCATGTAACGTCCAGAGTCCAATAATTGAGAATGGTAAAATTTCCACGAAACAATTGCACTATACCCCATTATCAACTCTAGAGTGAGGTCTTCTTGGTTAGAGTGTGAAATAAAAAATGGATTACGATAAAAATAGACGGAATATCTTGAAAATTGTTGAAAGTATGCAAGATATTTAGCTTTTTTCTACGGTAATTAGTTTTCTATTTCACAGTTTTAATCAAGAGGAGCTCACTCTAATCAATACCGGAAATTAGTTCTCTACTTTGAATTCGAATTGAGTTATCAGTTTAAAAGTAAACCAAGGGGTATAGTGCAAAAGTTTCGTTTCCATAAACCAAACAAAATTACAGTCACGTACACACATGTCGAGAAGTGCTTGAACTGTATCTGTGAGCGCTCCTCTCGATGCAACTATCCATGCTCACCGGAAGTCAATAATAGTTGTGGCTATTTCAGGGTATACTGATACTTTCATGCGAAAAAAACTAAAAATTCAGATGGAATACAACCATTTTATATTGTGTGGAATGCCGGGTAACGTTGCTGTGCCAAACCTTATTCTAGGAGCTACCGTAAAAGCTGTAAGATTAGTCTGGCAAGAAAGTTCCTGCACAAATTTTGAATAGCAATTTCTCGAAAACCAAGTTATGAATTCTTCCCAGATTTTTTGATAAACTTGACGATATTTCATAAAGGTTTTTGACAGAGAATCAGAATGGGCTTTAGGCAAAAAAATAAGAGATTTCTTTAGCTGAAGTGATTCGGTCACTTTTTGTGTGGCCAGCCTTTAGACAAGTCTTTAATTGGTTAATGGATAGATAATGGGTTCTATTAAAAACTTAAAATTTAGTACTTAAAACAGGGAAAATTTGCAAATTATCCAAATTCTATTTAATGCTTTCACTTTCCAGAAATTTTAGCAAACACTCAGTACCAAGAAGATGACACCAAAAAATATTTGAGATACGGCTTTTCTGTTAAAAATTTTTGACCAAAAATCGAGATTATAGACGTATTGCTCATTTATGCTAGCTTTACCTCATAAGAAAACGTTTTTCTGGTGCAAAAAGTGAGCTGAATTTAAGCTGGAGAATAGTACTGCAAAGTATAGGGACAACTTTTTGGAAAAGTATCTGGGAAATGTCTAATTTATTTGAAAAGTGGCAAATGTTATATAGAGAATTGTAGCCCTAATTCTTGGCAACATCTATCTACCAAAAGCTTCCCGATTGGACTTATACAACTCATTTAACAAGCGCTTGAATAAGCGATAGTCGATATTTCTCCGGCAAATTTGTCATTTGGACGCTTTTCTACAAATAATAGAACAAAATGTTCTTGAATTTGGTGGATTCGTTTTAAGAAATTCCAGTTTAAATCTTTGCAAAGGCTTTCTTAGTAGTCCGTAGTCCCTCTTATAGTACAATTGTATCGCGTAGTCGTACTTGTCCTACAATCATTTTTATCTCGTCACCCAAATGCCTTTTTACTTTACTTTTTTCACCAAAGAATAGAAGATTTAGCGGTGAGATATAAGCGCATATTATAGCTTAAAACAGCGCAAAGAACAAAGCGTTTAAAGTTAGCGGCTACGCGGCAATACGGAGCTACTGTTACAGCTTTTACTGTATTGAAGTTGAATAGCTTGAATAGACATGATAAGCTGTTAATACTAGCAAAGAAACTCTTGTTGAAATCTAGCGAAGCAGCAAAAAATATAATTTTTATCATTGCTGTGGCTCTCGTAAACTTCTGTAGCTGTAATTTCTATCCATTTTTCATAATTTGTTATTAGGTGTAATCACAAATCTTCAAATCTTTAATTGTATTTCTAATTTTGCAGGGATATGATCAATTTTTAGGTAGACGAGGCGAGGAAACGGGGGAATACGCTTTTATGAGGTGAATCGACTGGTTGGAACACAAATCCTCAGGATTTTTTCATATTTCTGTTTAAAGACGCTCAATCCATCAATCAACGTACACTTCGCTCTCAATAAAAAACGTTTGTCGTTAGTTTTTGCGTCTTTTTATGCCCATTTAGAGTGGGGTTTATGGTAAAACTGATGAAAAGAGCGCATTTTTCCTGAAATTCCAAAAATCCACTTATTATGATAACAAATGGAAGGATCATTCTGAAAATTTAGTCATTTTCATGACTTTTTATGCTCTATCTTTTTTGTTTAGATACTAAAATAGGTTATCTTAACAGAAATCTAGATATCAAACACATTTTTTGATATCACATCTCGATATCACATTTTTTGAGTGTTCAACTTCAGGACTTCTGTTCAACTTTAAAAACCAAAATTTCTTGTAATATTTTTAGCCATTTTGTAGAAACATAATCATGCTTTTTAAGAAAGCAAACCGAAAGTAAATTGATGGATTGAACGTTTTTAAACAAAACGATGAAAAAGTCTCTCTGAAAACGATGAAAACTTTGGTTCCAACCTAATACTTAAGAATTATTTGAGTAAAATTTACATACGATACAATTTCCTTAAATTATCAAACGAAATCCCCATTGACAGGTGTACCAGGAATCGCGATTGTGCGATGAAGTGTGTGAAAGCTCTCTACGACAAGTATCGCCATCGGTGCATGGGGAAACATTTCTGTGAAGCGATGACCCATCTTTATCAATTTGGTGGGTTTTATTCTAGTTAGATTCTGCTTTCAAGTCTACTTCTTAGTCTAAACATGCGTAAAACATCAAAAATCAAACCTCGATAAAAATAAAATAATGGAAGAAGTCGCCTAATGCAGTCGACTTTCGATGCAACGATTTTGAAATTCCAAAAAGTGTCTCGAAATTTTGCGTAGCTGCTCGGTCAAGCACAAGTCTCACCGGCTCAGGGCAGCTACGCAAGAATTTTGGAATCGTTAAAATCGTTAAATCGAATTAGCAGAGAAGTTTTCAACATCTCGGTTAAAAGGCTTTTCTTGTGTGACCAGAAAATGAGCTGATGGCCTAGCGGATAAGGTGCTCTTATAGAAAGTGAGCTATGCAGATTTTCCACGAGTTCGAGTTGTCCCCTCGAAATTTTTTGCCTTTTTGATTTTAACGAAACTAATACAAATATATATTTTTTTCATTTTCCCATCCATATTTCAATAAATAAAACATTAATGAAGAAAAGATAATCGAAAAGAAGATTTTATTTAAGTTAACGGTTGTGAATTCTGAAATTCTTTGCGTACAAGCTAACTTTTTGATTATCGAATTAATTTTTTATTTTCCGTTAGCTCTTGTAGCTTTAAAATCT